TGGGTGCGCCGCTGCCCGAGCTGCGCGTCTCGGAGCGGAGCGAGACGCACGTGCGCCTGCTACCGGCGGCGCCCGGCCGGCCCGTCTGGCTCGGCCTGCACCTGCACCACCTGCAGCGGCTACACTACCTGGTGCACCGCGCCCGGCTCGCCGACTTCGACGGCGCGCTGCACGTGGACGCGCGCGCTGCCGTGCTGGCCGAGCTGCGCCTCTGGAACGGCTCGGGCGTGCAGCACGGCACCGTGCACGTCAGCTACGGTGATCGCGGCCCACCGCCGGCGCAGTACCGCTTCAGCCTGGTGGCCGAGCCGCGGCTGCGGCTGCGGCTGCCGGTGGCGCTGGGCGCCGAGCAGCGCACGGCGCGGCTCTGCCTGCGGCCCGAGGGCAGCACCGCGCCGCCCCTCTGCCGCGAGCTGCCCGTCCAGCGCCAGCCCCGCGAGACGCTTCAGGCTGACGTCCAGCCCGACTCGCACCTCACCGTCGACGGTCAGACAAACCCGACCAACAACGTGGAGCGGTTTCTCAGGTGGGCAGCGCCGGGGCGGGCCCCGGCGTGGCGGGGCGGGACCCGCGCGTGGCGGGGCGGGACCCCCGGCGTGACGGGCCGGGCCCCGGACGGCGGTGCGTGGGTGGGTGGTGTCACAACACGGACGGAACGCGGTGCTTATCGTGTCGCTGGCCAGCAGCGCGCCGACAGATTTCGAAACGGGAGTGTGTTGGCACGCCCTGGATTGGTGCGCGATGCTGACCGGTGATCAATAAGCATCCATACTACATCGAACCGACTCAATGCGCCGGCCACGTGACGTCACGTGCCAAGGTTTGGGTAACGCTCTGAGTCAAAACCTTTCAATCAAGGGCGCTGTTGAAATCTTTTTCCGTTCTCAACTGCCAGTGGATAGCTGACGATATATATAGCATCATGGTCGATGTAAGAAGGGTCATAACGTCAGGGGTATTACTATTCCTTATTTTTTGTTGACAAATTACGTCTCATATTTTTACTACATGCATTCCTGGGACCAGAGACCACGCCAAACGGTGCTTATTGTTTGAATCTTGACCCCACCCAGCCAGTCATAAAACTAGATCAACGGCAGAGTTTTGCGGCGAATGTTTCATATGCCGCATTGCTCGACATGCCAGCGATTTTCAAAGTGTATGCCAATGTTTGCTGGATATCTAACTTTAAATACCACCTGCTATTCTGAAGATAAGCCGTCATCAATTTTAGAGCTCGCGAGTGATCGCGCCCTCTCTTCCGTTGCTTGCTGTCATTACTGTGTCCCTGTGTACCCTATTGTAGATCTTCACCAGCATGGTATGCTGAAATTAAATTCCTCTGCGAGCAGAACAGACGCCACTTTTATTATCCCCATCTCTGAGTTTTGCGTTTCCTTCCGTCACCCTAACGTGCCAAATGACACTGACCGATAATGACCTAAGGCCTTCGACCAGCCCTAACTAACTGAGCCGCTACCGTCCCGCCAGAGCTCTAAACCCGGCCACCTGGCTACAGTCGGGAGGCTCCTGGACCACCATCGTCGGCGCCGTCGTCGACTTAGTGCTCGTCATCATCGTTGTCAGCCTGCTCTGGAAGTGCTCAGCTGCTGTCGGGCCTGCTGCTGCAAACGCAGCAAGACGTAGCTGAAGAGAGCGGGAGCAACGTCCGCTGCCCGGAGAGCCAATGGCGGAGTGGCACGCCCGACGACGGGCGATGACGCCGCGACACTGCCCGGGGAGGGGGGCGGTGACGCCGCGACACTGCCCGGGGAGGGGATCGATGACGCCGCGACACTGCCCGGGGAGGGGATCGATGACGCCGCGGCACTGCCCGGGGAGGGGATCGATGACGCCGCGACACTGCCCGGGGAGGGGATCGATGACGCCGCGACACTGCCCGGGGAGAGGGGCGATGACGCCGCGGCACTGCCCGGGGAGGGGATCGATGACGCCGCGACACTGCCCGGGGAGGGGGGCGATGACGCCGCGACACTGCCCGGGGAGGGGATCGATGACGCCGCGGTACTGCCCGGGGAGGAGATCGATGACGCCGCGACACTGCCCGGGGAGGGGGGCGATGACGCCGCGACACTGCCCGGGGAGGGGATCGATGACGCCGCGGCACTGCCCGGGGAGGGGATCGATGACGCCGCGGCACTGCTCGGGGAGGGGATCGATGACGCCGCGACACTGCCCGGGGAGGGGATCGATGACGCCGCGGCACTGCCCGGGGAGGGGGACGATAACGCCGCGGCACTGCCCGGAGGAGGGGGCGGTGACGCCGCGGCACTGCCCGGGGAGGGGGGCGATGACGCCGCGGCACTGCCCGGAGAAGGGGGCGATGACGCCACGGCACTGCCCGGAGCCGCGGCCCGCCGGGTCTGCTGTTAAGCGAGGCTGTGATGTTGCGGAGAGGCGGTGACTAGTCAGGGGGTTCCGCGCCCGTAGGAACGGTTTCCGCTTGCGCGCCGCCACCGGTCGCCTCTGCCAGGGAATGCGAAATGGTCTGGCTTTGGCAACTCTTTGGCCCTCCAGGCAGCATGCGCCATTGTACTTAACACGCATTGTTCGCGGAACGTAATTTGCTTGTCATTCACGTGTCTGATGTTTACTTCCAGCATGGTATTTATGAGACGTGTATCATGCGTCCCACTATCATGTGGCATCACTTTGTTATTGGTACTCGTGTACCCTTTTGTGCACAAAATATGTTTATCAACGTGTATTTTGTGGCAATGGTGTATGGACGGCACGGAGTGAGGCGACCAAGAGCAGCGACAAGCACCGCACGTTTACCGAACAAATTCGAACCGGCGATGACAGCACTCAAGGCCGCACGGGTCCCCACACAACGCGTGAAAGACAGAACGAGAACGCGTCATTTACATAAACGATAAAAGCAGGATGCGTGACTAGCCCCACATGGTCAGGTACTCCATTTGGTCCCAGGACATCGACAAGCGCCCGTTTTGCATAAGTTCAGGGTCGCACAGACAGCACGCCGAGTCTCGGCTCATTCTTCCGTCAACTCTGGCACGTGACCACCGTCGGCAGGCTCCGCCGGCGCGGCGCACCAGTGCGGGCTGCACGTCAGAACCTCGCAGGCAGGGCCGGGCCGGGCCCGTCGGGTGGCGGGCGCGACAGGTGGCGTGCGGTACAACACCTAACACGGTGCACTGGTGCGGCACTCGGCGACACGGTGCACTGGTGCGGTACTCGGCGATACGATGGTGGACAGTAAACCCCTCTGTGATCACCGCACCGGGGACGGGACGGATCCGACTTAAGCTCGCAGCTCGTTAAGCGGCGGCGCAACCTCGCCACCGAGTCGGCCTCTGTGCTTGGACTGGGCGCCACGGAGACATCAGCCCGACACGTAGTGGACAGGGCTCGTCAGGAGACGGGCGGAACGCTCGCGCACCTCCAGCCAGCGTCGCGCGACGACACAGACACCGGCCCGACACGTACTGGACAGGGCTCGCCAGCAGATCCGCGGAACGCTCGCGCACCTCCAGCCAGCGTCGCGCGACGACACAGACACCGGCCCGACACGTACTGGACAGGGCTCGCCAGCAGATCCGCGGAACGCTCGCACACCTCCAGCCAGCGTCGCGCGACGACACAGACACCGGTCCGACACGTACTGGACGGGGCTCGTCAGGAGACGGGCGGAACGCTCGCACACCTCCAGCCAGAGTCGCGCGACGATCGCTCCGCTGCTGACGCACGCCAGCCACGGACACAGCACCGCAACAGCCACACACCGATCGCCTCGTGACTTCTACATCTGGCCGCCTTGTCCTGGTCAGCGTTCTTCAATCGCAGCACGCTGCAGCTTTCCCAAACGTTCCGGGTGGCTTACGCAGCGACGGTCTGTTCGGCAACCGGGTTACCTTTCGGTCTGTGCACGGCCAGGTCGATCTTGTTTGACTCCGCGCAGGGAGGCTGTAGAGTCAAGAGTCCTCTCCGGCGCCAGACCGGACAGTCCTGATCAAAGAGTCCTCTCCGGTCCCAGACCGGACACAGTCCTGATCCAAGAGTCCTCTCCAGTCCCGGACCGGACACAGTCCTGATCCAAGAGTCCTCTCCGGTCCCGGAACGGACAGTCTCCATCCAAGAGTCCTCTGCGGTCCCGGGCCGGACACAGTCCTGATCCCAAGAGCTCTCTCCGGTCCCGGGCCGGACACAGTCCTGATCCAAGCAGCCGGAAACTCTAACCGAGCGGTGTGATAGGAGATTCTTGTCGGCAAGCGTAGTGGGTCAGTAGCCTGAGGGTGAGGGCCTCGCGTCCAGCAGTACAGTGCAGCGGCTTTGAGGGCTCCTTGCCGCGATCGATCGCGTGTACACGCGTACACGCGTACAGGGTGTCCTCGGTGACTAGAATCCTCAATGACTAGAGCGGTTTAATATTTTCGATTACTGGAGTAGCTCGCTTCTCTCGCTGACTCGATGACGGGATAGTTCTTAGACTCCGACGTGCATTAAGCGAGTCTGGTGGATCGGCAGGCTTAGATGCTATACAGATTGACCACTGTGTTCAGGTAGTCTTTTTTGGATCTGTCCACAGCATCCCCGCTAAGCTGGACCGTGCTGGGTGACCTCGGGGTCACCGAACCCAGCGACCCGCCGCTGCCCCAGTTCCGCCAGTCTGAAAAATAAATGCCAAACTCATGGAAAACACGAAGACAGAGTACGCAAGCTGTAAGAATATAAAAGTTAGCATGTAACACAGAATAAACCCATCGGCCGTCAATCCGCATCAGTCGTCACTGCGCATCACTCCCAGCACACCAGTCGGGCGGCAGTGACCCCCCAGTGCCGCGTCGTTCCCCGGCCCGGCCCAGCCCGCCTCTCCGGCGCACGTACCGGTGTCGTCGGCCAGGTGGCGGCGGATGCTCTGGTCGAGCTCGTGGCGGATACGGTGCGCCAGGCCCGCGGTTGGCGAGCGGGCCGGCGCCGGCCGACCGCCAGAGCCCGGCCGGCCGCCGGCCACCATCGCCTGGAAGTCGGGCAGCGGCGGCGCCCGCCGCAGCTCCGGCAGCAGCGGCACGGCGCTGCTGGCGCCGCCACGCGGCCATGTCACATACTAACGGAACCGGTCAACGCCGAAGCGTGTGATGCACGGCGGGAGGCAAAGAAAGACATACACTTCAGATGCATGCGAAGGGTCTTCCTGAACAGATTACATGCTTCGGGTGTTTGGAGTGTTGCTGGACAATGCGAACCGGTTGATGTGACGCAACAGAGAGGAAAGGGGGTAAACAAGTCGGCAGTGAATATCACAAAGTTCACACGAATTCAAATTACGCTGCACGCTACAGGGAGACGCATTGAATCAAGATTCGATAGCTGCCGTGCCGACGCAAATGTAAGGGTTCACACAGCTGCAAAGCACGAACAGACGTGTTGTGCATCCGACCAAGCTGCATGTCCTTTTCAGAGACAGATTTGTCTGGCCATCAAAGTTTTGCAGCCAAGCCATGAAAGCTCCGACAACCAAACACGACGTTAGCTTCGCTCAGCATTACAAGCGTTCTCAAACTTCGCCGGCCGGCCGGACATACCGTTGTGTTTCGAGTGGTTCGACGCAGGGCGGCGCCACCGGTCGCCTGCTGGAGGGCGTCGAGAGCACCTGGACCTGTTCACACTGCTGCAGGAACGTCTCCTCCTTCTTATCCCGAGCTGTAAATCGGCTGCCATCGGTCACGAGTAGCGCGGGATCACAGGAAAGGTCACGCCCCTCGTATGTTATCAAGTGACAGGCACATATGAATCGACAAAACACTGGGAACAGGAAAAGTTAATAAAGGTGATGTGCCAGTTATATTAGGCGGTATCCTCCATGTTATGTCCAGAAAGTAGTGATCACCATCTGGTCTTGTAAAGGACGGGCTCAGCAAATATCAACTTGCTTTTTATTGAGCCACATACGTGGCAAGTTGCAGCACCTGGTTCCTATCTGGCGCATTGCTTTTGGACACCTAAGCTCATTCTCTTGTAAATGTCCGGAAAATTTTGTTTTAGACATAGGCAATACCACCAGTGAGGGACACAGAACGTCTGTACATAAGACGAAGGTAACTAAAACATTGTGTCTTCAGCGGGCGCAATGCACTGAAGTTGTCCCGGCTGCCCAGTCATACAGCGAGAGGTCGTGCGTTGTGGTCGTGACGAGATGCAGAAAGAAGGTGCACGGCACGGCGGCCAGCTCCCGCTGGATCTGGGTGGCACACCGCCGCCTCCGGGCTGGCCCAGTCGGCCCCTGACCCCGTGACCCGTCAGGCCGAGGGGTCACCGGGGTCGCCGTCTGACCTGAGACGGTAGCGGCCAGCCGCACCAGCTGGTCCATCAGCAGGCGGCGCGTGGCCGTCAGCTCGTCGGCCAGCTCCTCCCGCCGGCGCGCCTCGCCGCCGAACTGCAGAACGCGCGCGCCTGAGAGACACATCACAGGCAGGGCAGCGGAAGGCGGCAGTCCTCCGGACAGACGACGACAACGCCGAGATTGGTACGAAGCTGGCTCACACCCCTAGTTCCCGTCGTGGGTCGGCAATGTCGTGAGCTTGAAAGGTATGCTGTGTCTGAGATGCCCGCCACTTCAGTGGCTTCCGACAACGCAACAATGGGAAGGAATAGTCTGGCATATTTAATTTTGCACAACTCATATACGTGTTGAGGAAAACATCCAGCAATAAAGACCTCAGAATCATATCCACGTGTAACGTTAACGTTAATGCGGCGAGCTCCATGCACGTTCACTGCAGTCCATCGATCAGTTGCTTTCTCATCAAAGGGAAGTAAAAACCAGTATTTGGAATCCAGGTGTTAGAACGTGGAACATGCGGCGTTGAAAATAGGGACAGACAGCCCTAAGACAACGCTAAGTTTCTGGCACGGCCGCTGACCTCATTCTCAATGATCCGCCTGACGTCCGTCTCAGCCATCATGGTCCCCGAGGTGGTGTCGTCGAGCGCGCGGCGCCGCAGCTCGGCCAGCGTCCGCTCCACCTGTTGCGCCAGCGCGCGGCCCGAGGCGTCGCCGCCGGCGCGCAGCTGCTCTAGCTCCAGCTCCAGTAGCGCGCGCCGCTCCTGCTCCTGCTCCTGGCGCATGCTGCGCTGCAGCCGGTCCAGCTGCGCCTGCAGCTCGCGCTCCCGGCCGCCTGAGCCGCCGTCCGCCGAGGGTGCCTCCAGCTGGCGGCGCATCTGTCGGTACTTGGTCTTGAGCGCGGCGGCGTGCCGCTCCAGCCGACCCGAGCGTTCAGACTCGGCCGCCAGGCGCCGCGACGACTCGGCGTAGGCGGCCTCCAGCTGTCGCAGTCGGCCGTGCTCGGCCTGGCGCCGGCGGCCGGGCCGGGCCGGCGCGGGTCCTACACCGGAGCAGAGCTCCGACGTGGTGGTCTGGCTGTCCGATGCCGCCTCGCCGTCCGTCTCCGAGCGGGACCGGCGGCGCGGCGCCACCCCCTCCTGCTCCGCGGCTGCGCCCACCCGCCAGTCGGGGAAGGTGGCGCTCGCAGCGGGCTGCTCCGGAGGGAACACCTGGCGGGCGCAGCGGGCCCGCGGCCGTCCCGGCCTCGCTTCTGACGGCACCGCCCGGCCGGCCGGCCCACCGACCTCCGGCGCCGCCCGCCGACGCCGGTCTGCCAACGTACCGCTGTCCGGACCACCGGCGTCCGCGTCCCCGTCGGCGGCGGCGGGGGACTTCATCAGCTGACCGCTGAGCTCGAGCCGAGCCAGGCTGAAGGTGAGCTCCTGCACGCGGCCCCGCAGCTGGTCCTGCTGTCGGGCCGCCCGGTGCTCGGCCTCTGAGAGCGCCCCCTGCAGCTGCTCCGCCAGCGCCCGGCTCTCCTCCAGCTCCCCTCTCAGCCGGGACAGCTCGGCCCGGCGGTCCGGGCCGCCGTCAGAGGAGCCGCCATCTGATGGTGTGTCACGGACCGCCTGCTGCCGTGCCTGGGCCGGGCAGAGCGTCGGCTGCTGCTGCTGCTGCATCTCCTGCACCGTCTTTGTCAGCTGGACGATGAGCTCGCAGCTCTCAGCCAGGTCTTGCTTCAGCTTAGCCGCGTCACTGCTCTCACAACGCAGTTCCTCCAGCAGCTGTCGCGTCTCCTGACAGGCCCTCCGACTGTCTTCCAGCTCCAAGTTCAGGGCAGCGACCCGCCCCGAGTCAGGGTCTTCAGACGTCTGGACGCCGACTTCAGTCAGTGGTTCGCCACGGTCGCCCATTCCAGTCGAGCCGGTCGCGATATTGTGGGTCCCCCGAGCTACCGCAGTGCCCAGTCCTGTGGCTCTTGCTTGTAAGCCCAGGTCGACGTGTTGGCATTTCGAACACGCAGCTCCAAGATCTTTCGTGGAATCTGCGCCGTCTGCTTCAATTAAGTTGTTATTTCTGACTGCCTGTATCTGCCGTTGAGCCGGTGGCGACTCGTTCTGGTATTCGACAGGAGAGTTGTGGGGTTCCGGTCTTGCCGTGGGCGCGGCCTGGCGCGGCTCCAGACCAGGATGAGGTGGCTCGTGATGGTCCGGCGGCGGCTGCTGTTCGCCTGCATGCGGGACAGAGCTGGGGGGACCCGCCAGGAGGACCAACGGATTGGTCGGCACAGGGCTCTGCTCTAGACGGGAGGCAGTCAGCTGCTCCTCTCGCTCGCGGGCCCTGAAACACGACACACGCTAGCAACGGCGACCACAGCAAAAGGACCACCTGCACGAGGGCAGTGAATAGCATCAGTCATCCAAACAACCGGCCATTTGTTCAATCGAAAAGCTTCCTGGCCCTATAGCACAGCTACGCTGTCCCACAAACCCAAGCTCGGGGGTGTTGGG